AGGGTACAGATTTTTTATACAGATATCATTTTCAGTTGCTTTTTCTTGACAAGGGAGGGGAAGTTGGGTGCTCTGGGCAGTGCTCTGGGGGTTGCTCCTGGCTCGGTGCTCAGGGGGTGACTCCTGGTGACCCTCAGGGGGCTGTCAGTGTCAGAAATGAAACGCAGACCTCCTGTCTGAGGCCCAAACCATGCTGGCTCATGCCTTGAGCTCGCTCTGGCCCCTGGACGCAATTTGAAAATCACTTGCGTTTTCTAGCCGGGTCATTTGCTGAGGGCATCTTTAGTTCTGTAAGAAGCCTCATACCACTTCGCATCCCCGCCAGCAGTGAGGGCGCCTCCCTGCGCTCCCCCTCCTCATAGAAACCCGGAACTCGGAGGGGTGGGTGCTCTGGATGGCAGCCCCCTCTCGTGGCTGAGCGGGGGCGGGGGGGGGCCCTCTGCTGCGAGTCTGAATCTGCAGAGACAGGTTTGGTGCGGGTGCATCCTCGCTGTCCCTTCTTGTCTCGTGTCCCGTGCATCAGACTGCCCTCCTCCTTCACACAGACAGAGTTCTTTGCGTGTCCAGATGACGCTCCCTCGCCACACCTGTCTTTGGCAAGTACCCCTGTGGTTTGTCTGGCATTTCCTCCACAGAGCAGCTCTTCAAATGTGGCCCCCCAGCTCTTCTCTGGAACAGCTTTCCCTGAGAATGGAACTGATCTATAAAGAATCATCCCTCCCCCCGCCACCCTGCCCCGCCGAGGGTCTTAGGCAGGAAGTCCAACGACCAACCCTGGGTCCAGCAGGGACCCTCTGAGAGGTGGGGTGGTGGCATGGGGAGGTTAGGTCATGACTGAGCAGGTTAGACCTTCAGGAAGACCAGGGCCAGAAAAAGAGGGAGAGGAACCCATGGCTAGAACGTGTCACTTAATGCCTCCTCGTTGGGGCAAGGTGCTGGGACTCACCGCAGGGCCCTGCACAGAAGAAGCAAGTGTTCTATACCTGCCCCCCTGCTGCCAAGGCCCTAGTTGTTTTTTTTATTAGTTGACTCCATGAATATTTTGCATATTTATCAAAAGGTTTAAATCTTAGGGACAATGGAAAGCCAGTGAGGCCTTGAAGGGAAAACCAAGAAGAGATCCAACCTCTGTTTTAGGAAGAACTTTCCTGGCTGCATGTGAAGGGAAAGCTCTGGGGTTCTGGAGACACGTGGACGAGTCAGGAAATGATCAAAATACTTCAGGTGACTGGCGAGGCATCCTTTAACTGGATTGGCGCATCGAGGAAGCTCTCAATTTAATGCAGCTTAATTCAGCAAATAGATTCTTTAATGTGTTTTTCTGGACCAAGCATTGTACCGGATTTTAAGGACCCTAAACTGAAATAAAAAGAAATATTGTCCCCCCTCAATCAAGGAGTGTGCCATCATCAGGATTCATCACAGTGAGGCTGAGAGTAAAGGGGACTGTGGCGTGGGTGGTGTTAAGAACTGAATTGTGTCCCTCCACCTCCCCGGGACCCAGAAGGAGGCCTCAGATGAAGCATCACCCCAAGAGGAGGGGCAGCAGAGTTGTGGCCGGACCCTGTGTGAGGACACTGCAAGAAACAGTGTCTCCCTGGGCCAGTCCTGCTGCTGCTCTTGGACTTCCAGCCCCTTCCTCTCCCCCCCCCCCCCCGCTCTCCCCCCCACAGCCCTGAGCCTGGGCCAAGTGGTCCTAAGCACTTCCATCCCAAAGATGATCCGTTATGCCAGTGGCAGCCCCATCCGGAGCACAGAGGAGAGGAGCTGGCCCAGCGTGGCCTGCTTTTCACTAATGACATGCCTGGGGCAGCTAGGTGGAGATCGGGGCCCTGAAGTGAGGCTGAGGCATGTCAGCACATCAGAGCACTGACCAGGCTGCCCAGAAGCCTACTCGGGACGGTGTGGGGACTAGAACCCTGGCCCTCCCCGCCCTCTCGCCCCCACCTGGGCAGGGATCACAGAGTGGCCGCGTGACCTGTGTGCCACAGGCTGCCCCAAGTCACCGAAAGCCTTTAGGTGTGGAACCCGTAGACTCTGACTTACTGCCCATTCATTTGCTCATCTGTCATTTAGCAGCTTGTGTTGTCTGTTGGATTCTTATATTTTTATTAATGTTCTCTACATTGGCACTTTTTAAATCTTCTTTTAAAAATTTTGTTTCAGGCACCATGGTTTACAAAACTATTAACGGTGGTGTCCATATGTAACACTATTGCCCATCCCACCCTCCCCCAGTGTCCAGGTCCGCCCCCCCGTCCCCCTCCCTCCTTCCTGTGCGAAGCCTCCCAATGAAGACCGTCCTTTAGCAGGAAGAACTGATCTTTAGAAGTTCCCATTGCCTTTGGGTTTGTTATTCCCCTACCATGTTTCTTTCTGTCACTGTGTGTCTCTGCTCCTGACTAACTTCACTCAACACCACACTCTCCAGATCCATCTATGCAGCAGCAAATTGCATGATTTCATTTTCTCTTAGAGCAGAGTTGGGTTCCATTGTGTCTGTGTACCATAGTTTCTTTATCCAGTCATCTGTCTTGGATACTGGGTTGTCTCCAGATTTCGGCTCTTGTGAATAGTGTTATATTGATCAGAGGAGTGCACTTATCTTTTCTGAATAGAGTTTTTGGGTCTGTGGGGAGATGCCAGGAAGTGGAATTGCTGGGTCATATGGAAGCTAAATTCCTAGTTTTTTGAGGAATGTCCAAAATGCTTTTCAAAAAGGCTGGAGCAGCTGACATTCCTAGAAGCCGTGAATGAGGGTCCCTTTTCTCCACATCCCCCACCAACACTGGTTGGTTTTGTTCTTTGTGATGGGTGCCAGTCACTGGTGTAAGATGAGATTTCATCTTTTTGGTTTGGGCCTTGTTTTCAACTGGCATGAAAGTATCTTGAGCATAGGAGCTGGAGCTTGAGCTTCTCTCCTGCTTTTGTCCTCACCACTAGACACCAGTGGACACTCAAACATTGAAATATTTTCTTTGAATGATTCTAAGAAGACAGTTACATATCTAGATAATGATTCTTTTAAAGCTTTCACAAATTGCAAAAGTAACCAAAGCAAGATGAACTTAGATAAAACTACATACACGTTGCATCTGAAGGCATCAGAAGGGTCTTAGCGAAAATCCGGGTGTCTCAAAGGCTGACGGAAATGAGCAGCTCAAGGCTCTGCACCTCCCTTGTCAAGAAGGACTGGACACCAGGCAGGCTTCGGAACTGGGGGTGTGCCGGGCTGAGTCAGCCGTGCGTGGCTGTGGTCTGCGGCACTATTTACAGCGCCCTGACACCTCTCTGATGGGGTTAAGTATTTACATTCAGCTTGATTCTCCCCTTTGACTCTGCATGCTAAGGCGAGTCTCCGTCAGTCCTGGGAAAGACCGGACCCCTCCCTCCAGGGGTCCGGGACAGGGGCAAGTGGGGGTCCCCTCCCCCTCGCATATCTGAGCTGGCTCTCCTCCGAGAGTTTATGGCGGCCTGACCTCCGCCTCTGGGGGGAGAATCTGGCTGCTTCTGTACTACATAAAAAGGGCAAGTGCATTCATTATTATTATATTATTATACAATGGATAATATATAATGGCGATTATGCTGTCAGCAGTGGGGGCCTCTGACCGCACATCAGAGGCTGGGGTGACATAAATCCACCTAGGGAAGCTTTGGGAGGTTCTGTGTGAAGGTGAGAGGACCTGACTTGTCTCCTAGGAGTTCTGGGTGAAGTTTCCCCACACGCTGCAACTTTGGAGGTTGAGTGGGGGGTGGGGGTGGAGTTGGGGAGCGGGAGGCTGGGAGAATCCGGACAAAGAGTATTTGGAAGATGTGGGATTCTCCCGGCCAGGACCCCCTCGGAGCCCTGGAATGCTAATAGCTCTCATGTGGAGGGGGGGCCCTGACCCGGGGCCACCGTCCCCTTCTCGGGTCAGATTCTTTACTGCGAACCTGGCCTGCTTGGGTTTTCCTTTCTGCTTCAGGGGCTTCCCTCAGTGCCTTTGTCTCGGCTTTGTCCAGGCCCCCTGCTTGGCCCCGGGTCAGGAGATCAATGGCCTTCCCGGCTGAGGCTGAAACGCTGGGCTGCAGGGAGCAGGGGGTGGCGTTTCCAGGGCCAGAGGGGTCCCTTTTCCACCCCCTCCCTCACGCCCCTGCGCACGGAACTGTGGGACCCTGGTTCCGAAGGGGGGCAGGGTCCTGCTCCCGCACACAGTAGGGCTGCACCTGGGCGGAGCAGCACGCGAGCCGGCCTCAGCCCTGCCTGTCCCCGCCGCTGGAGCCCAGCTGGCCTCTCCCTTTATTAGACGCTCCCCCAACCCCCAGAACTCTCCACTTTTTAGAATGAAAATAGCAGCGGCTTAGGAAAGGCTTGCCTGGCATTTGCAAAGAGTCGGTTTACTGACAAAGCCTCTGCACCCTTTTATCTCGCCCCTGCCCCCACCCCTTCCCACGGCCTCCCCCTCCTGAACCGAGCGCCCCAGGAAGCCCGCCGCAGAGAAAGCTCCTGAGAATAGGAATTACTAACCGGAGTGTCACCCGAGCACCTTTGCTGGGGCCGGGGTAATGAGAATTATTCAAATGCAATCATAAAAATGAGGCCAGCCAGGAAGGAACGGGGTGGGGGCGGGGGTGGAGGGAAGGCTTCCTCGCCAGTTTTAAGTTTCATCATTTTCTGGGGAGCCCCTCTTGGGTGGGGGTGGGGGAGCCCACCGAACCTTTCGCCGCGGCCGCGCCGCAGCCCGGGATTGCCTGGCAACCCGGCGCCGGGGCCGGGGGCGCAGGAGCTCGGGGCCGGGGGGCGGCGCGCGCCCGCGGCGGGTGGGCTGCGGGGCCCCCGCGGGGCGCCCTAGCGGCCGGGCCGCGTGTGCCGCCGGCGCCTCGAGACGTCTCCAGCAGAGGGAGACACTGCGGCGGCTCGGCGGGCTCGCGAGCGGCCGGGCCCGAGTGGGTGGGGGAGGCGGGGGGGTGGGGAGAGGGGGAGTGGGGAGAGGGGAGGTGTGGACGGGGAGGGGGGGCTCCGGGGGGCGGGTCCCTGTGCCGCTGACGTCCCGAGCAGTGCTGGGAAGTATAGGCTGTGTTGTCACGCCGGTGTCAGTCTGATGAAGATTGGCATCAGGTAAGCTGTCATTCATTTCCATGTCAGAGACGCTTTTGCAGGCGGCGGCGGCGGCGGCGGCGGCGCGGCGGCGCGGCGGCTGCCGCTGCTGCGGGCGGCTGCTCAGCGCGCGTGTGTTTTATTCCAGTCCCCAAGCCAGAGTATTATTCATTGCGACAGGGCAAGGAGGAGAGAGGGAGGCAGCAGGGAGGAGAGAGGGAGGCAGCAGGGAGGAGGGAGGCGGCGAGCAGAGAGGGACGGCGGCGGCAGCGTGCAGAGCGGAGCCGGGGGAGCGCCGGCGGGGCGAGCGCCGAGCCCGGCGGCGGCGGCGGCGGCGGCGGGAGCCGCGCGGCCTCTCGGCGCCCCGGCCCGGCCCGGCCCGGCCCGGCGCGGCGCGGCCCGGCGCGAGCCGCGCGCAGCCCCAGCCCCGCCGCCGCCTCGCGGGGCTCGGGGCCCGGCGCGCATTGTCCGCGGGGGCGCGGGGAGCCCGAGGACGCGGAGCCGCGCGGCGGGTGCGGCCGGCAGCGGCGGCCCGGGCCGGGGGCGGCTTTCTCGGGGCGCCCGGACGCGGGAGCGGCCGCGGAGCCGCGGCGGTTGCGGGCCGGGCCCGGGCGCCCGGGCGCGCGGGGTTTGCGGGCGGAGCCGGCGGTGGGGCCCCGGCTGGCTCCCCGGGACGCGCGATGTCGGGTTCCGGCGGGCTGCCGGAGGCGCCGGGGCCCTGGGCCGGGCTCGTGGCCGCGGACTGGAGTTGGTCACAGCGGGGGACGCAGAGCGCCCGAGAGCCGAGAGCGGAGGGGGCCGGGGCAGGGTCCCGCGGCTCCGCGCAAACTTTGCGCTTCTTTGGGGGGCGGCGCGCGGGGCGCCCCGGCTCCCGAGCCCCGGCCCGGCGGAGCGGAGCGGCCGCCTTCCCCGCGGCTCGGGGCCGGCAGCCGAGCGGGTCGCGGCCACCCCGCCGCCGGGCCGGGCTGCAGGTCCGCGGCGCGAGTTTGGGTCCCGGCGCCCCGGCTTGTTCGCGGGACGGGCTCGCGGGCTTCACCCTGCGCCCGCGTCCGAGCGAGGGCCCGGCGGGGCCCGGAGCTCAGTCCCCGGCGGCGGACTCGAGGGCTCCGCCGCGGCTCACGGCGTTCCGTTGGGACGGAGGCGGTTGGCCTTCGGGGAGGGTCGCGCGCGGGGCCCCACGCTCCGCGGGCGGAGACGCACCCACGTCGGCGATGGAAGTAGCCGATACCGGCAGCCGAACCCCGAGGTCCGGCTGCTGTTCCTGGCCAGCGGACTGGAGGAGAGGACTTGGGGCGCGCCGGACCCCGCTCCTAGGGGAAAGATGGGGGACGCTAACACATCGAAGGGACCTTCTGGGCAGCGAGCGGGCAGCCGCGCAGGGCTCCGCGTGGATGCCAGGACCCGACCCCGGAGACTGCGGTGGGCGCCGCTCGCCACTCGGGGGCCTAGGGGGCCCCCGGCGCGGCGGGGCAGATGCGGGCCGGGGTGCGGGGCGCGTGGGGGCCGCCGCCTGTGCTGGGTCGCGGCTGCGCCGGCTCCAGCCCGCCCCCGCGACGATCCGCCGAAAGGGGGACACTGCCCTCCGCCCGCTTGCCCGGGACTTCTCCAGCCTGTTGACCTTTGGGGTTCCAGTGGCCCCCCAAGCCTCGCACTAGGCGGCCCCCCGCCAGCCGGGCGCTGTTGAAGCACAGACACATCCGCCCCGCCGAGCCTTTGCTCTTAGTCTTCCTCTTCCGAGGCCCCGGGACCTCGGGGGCCTGGACCCGACTCCCCACGTCTGGACTAGGCGCCCACCCTGAGTGCGTTCCTGGGCACCCAGGCCTGGCCGGGGCGCCGCCAGGGGCTTGCCCAGGGCCGGCCCACGGGGCAAGCAGACTGTGTGGGGATGCGGCCAGGAAGGCTAGAAATTTCCTCCTGACAATCGTGAGCGCGCCCGCCCAGGCCTCGGCGCACCCCATGACCACCCTCGGGGGGCGGCCGGCCGGGACTGCCTCGAACCCAAGAGCGCGCGCGCCTGAGCCGGCGTGGTGGCCTCCGGGCGGGGCGGCGGGGCCGGTGTCCGCGCGGCGGGCGAGCGCGGGCAGGGCCGAACTCGGGCCTGTTGTTCTCGGCCTGGACCGGCAGCTCCCTCCCACCCAGAGCCTGACCCCGCCGGACACTCCGCGCCGCCCGTGTCTGCCCCTTTGTGAGCGCCAAAGGCAGAGAACGTGGAACTGCTGGGGACGCGGGGCAGGGGGTGGCCGCAGGAGGAAGAGGTCAGGTCCCGCCTGCAAACGGCACCGAGCATAGGCAACTCGAGACCGCCTGTTTTATGATCCTTCCTGGGAGTTTCCTGCGCTCTGCTTTTAAGTCTATAGATTGCTTTAAGTTAATGAAAGTGCTGCTTTCAAAAGGGGCTTTTATTGTGCGGCAGTGGCCAGGCCAGTCCCTCCCCTTTACTCGTCCCAAATGGGCCTGTTTAAAAGAGGGAGCCTCCTGGAGTCCCCATAGCAGCTGGGGGGGGGGGGGTGCTCCACGTGACGCGGGTGATGAATGAAACCAGCGCACCAGCCATTCAGAGACCCGTTTGCTTCTTCTTTTCCAGTCCCGTTTCCTCTGATCGGTCCTGGAGTGCCTTTGGGGCTTTCACTGAGTCTAACTGTGACCAGTGACCCCCACCCCCATCCCGGCCCCCAAAGCCCCCTTTCAACATTGCTTTACGGAGGCCTGACCCTGCTTAATTAAACTCCAACTGGATTTCAGGATTTCAACTGGCAGCCAATTCAAAAGGAGAAAAAAAAGTGTCCTCGGGCCTGGGGAGGGCTCTCCGTTGCTGCTGAGGCCATGGGCCCAAGTGTCAGGGAGAAAGGCCCGCCCGGAAAGGAAGGTGGAAGCCGGTTCCAGGGCTCTCCCCGGTTCCCATCTCTCTGGCACGGAAGGTGAGGCTGGCAAGGTTCTTGCTCAGGCCCGGAACAGCAGCGGGGCCGAGCTGTGGCTTTGACCGCATGTCATAACCATTTAAACTGTGGTTACTTGTTCAGAGCTCAAAGCGTCTCCAAGCTGGGTTTCATTAACTCTACACCAGTTGCCTGGAAGTTCAGTAGCAATAAATTGTGTAAACACATTTGAAGTAAGTTAGTGATGAAATAAGGAGAATTACTGTCTTGTGAGTGGAGAATCCTGAATCCGTGGAGTTCTCGCGTAACTGGAAACAGGCCCCCTCTGGCCTGGCCTTGATGTTTATGGGGGCTCCCGAGTATGTGCTAAATTTCTTTCTGCCATGTCCATCTTCAGCCTGGGCCTGAAACTCATTAGGGACCAAGGCATGCCTGCAAAGCAAGAAAGGGCCGGCTTTAAAGGGGGCTCTATTAGCCTGGTTTAGAAACTCGGATCAGCCCATCAACCTGACTTCCTTCCCCTGGCTGAATACGGAGCCGTAGCATAAACAGCAGTGGAGCAGGCCAAATTAGATTTTTAAATGCTAGCAACTTAATAATACTGTGTTGTTAGCAATTGAATTTGTTTTTATTAGAGAAACAACCTATTAAATTTATAGGCCTCCTACATGGTGCACGATTTCCTTGCAATTTATTTCGCTCCTGCCTCCACCCCCCCACCCCGTCCCCAAAAACTCTACCCCCAATTTCAGACTTTGGTTCCCGACTTCTTTAATGTAGAGCACATTTTCTAAATTAGTGGGAGGCAGGTGAGAAATGCGGCTCCAAGTCTGCCCCTTCCCTCTGCCTGCCGGGCCGCTCTGGGTGCGCCGCTGTGGGTTATATATACACGTGGATGTGTGATGAATCCTCGAGGTGATGCCGGCACGTGAAGCCTGCATCAGACAAGATGCAGATGAGAGTCAGGACAGGGGGAAGGGAGGAAGTTAGATGGGAAATGAAGTCGTGATGAGCCTCTGCCGGCCTCCTTTTCCAGCCAGCACACCGTGCTGAGGAGAAAACACCTCATGGAGATGGAGATGGAGATGCGGGGGTCTGAGGGCGGGGCTGCGGGTGCGGCTGGGTGGTGGCCAGGCTTGCTGCAACAGGGAGCTGCTAATTTAATCAAATCTAATACCTGGTGGGAACGAGAGGAAAGAGATAATCAAAGCTGGCAGGTCAGCCCACTGAATGTCTTGAGTTTCATACCTTGTCCCTGTCTGACACCCCAGGTCACCAAGCTTCTGGGCCTTGGTTTCCTCATCTGGAGTGCGCGCTGTCTCTCTGTTTCTCTCTTCTTTCTTTCTTTCTTTCTTTCTTTCTTTCTTTCTTTCTTTCTTTCTTTCTTTCTTTCCCTCCGTCCTTCCTTCCTTCTTTTCTTCCTTCCTTCTTTTCTTCCTTCCTTCCTTTCTTTCTTTCTTTCTTTCTTTCTTTTGTTTTTGGGCCACACCCAGTGTTGTTCAGGGTTTACTTCTGTCTCTGTGCTGGCGGCGGGGGGGGGGCGCATCTGGGGTGCCGGGGATCAAACCCGGGTCAATGGCGTGCGAGGCTAGTGCCCTGCCCTCTGTGCTATCACTGAGGCCCTGTAAGGTGGGGTGTGTCTCTGGCTTCTGGTGAAGCTCCGGAGAGTGTTTGCTGCAGGAAGGTAGGCTGGGTGCGCCCAGCCTGAGAGTGTCACCTCCTTGCTGGGCTCTTTCCTTGCAGGCTCCACAGCAGCACCCCAGGAATTCCAAAACTTGGATACAGGGACTCGTTTGCCCGCTGCCCGACTTTCTGTTCAAGGATTTTCACACTCCACCTCGGTCCTCACCTCCCAAACTGCCCGCACTGTCCCAGGAGGGACAGTTGAGGCTGGGAACCTCTGCCCGCCTTCCCCCCACCCCCACCCCTACCGCCCACCCTCACTGCATTTGTGTTCGTGGATCTGACGGACAAGAGCTGCCCTTTATTGCCAGTGAGAGGGAGGGCCGCTGGCTCCCAGCCTCTGGCCCAGCCGGGGGGCCGGGGGAGCTGGGCGCTGGCCCACAGCTAGCCACAGCCTGAACCTCACCCGGCAGCCTCCATGCTGGCAGATCAAAGCTGCTTCTGGGCCAGGAAGCCCTGGAA